GCTATTGTAGCCCATTTCCCGGACACGTCTGTGAACAGTGACTTTTGATACCTGGACTCCAGCTTCAGTCCACTGTCTTTGAAGCTCCCCCAAATTCTGGAAGCGACTCTTCTTCACAATGCTGTTAAGGCTGCGGTCATCTCTCTTGGTTGTGCAGCGTTTCCTGCCACATTTCCCCCTTCCAACAGACTTTTTGTGGATGTGCTTTGAAACTGCACTCTGTGAACAGCTTGCTCTTTGAGAAATTTCTTTTTGTGTCTTACCCTCCTGATGGAGGGTGTCAATGACGGTCCTCTGGACAGCAGTCAGATCAGCAGTCTTCCCCATACTTGTGATTTAGTTTACTGAACCAAGCTGAGTGTTTTTCAAGGCTCAGGAAACCCTTGCAGGTGTTTCGAGTTAATTAGACGATTCAAGTGATTCGTTGAACACCCTACTAGTATACTTTTTCATGATATTCTAATATTTAGAGATAGGATATTTGAGTTTTCTTAAGCTGTATGCCATAATCAGCAATATTAAAATAATAAAAGGCTTGCAATTTTTCAGTTGATTTGTAATGAATCCAGAATGTATGACATTTTTGTTTTTTTAATTGCATTACAGAAAATAAAGAACTTTATCACAATATTCTAATTTTCTGAGACAGTCCTGTATGCCATTAATAACTGTGTAATCTATACCTGGCCACTAAATCAATCAATATATATATATGCCGTTAATAACTGTAATTTATACCTGGCTGCTAAACCCTTGTTACTGTTACAAGGTATGTATCTTGTAGATTGTGTAACTTGCTGCTGTTAAATACCGTCAAACTATGTGCTTTATGTGCAATATATACTTTATATACATATGCCATCTTTAATAACTGTAATATATACCGGGCTGCTAAATCCTAAGAACTGCTACAGGATTTGATTTGTAGATTTGATCTGTATTTTTGAAAATTATGTAACTTTTTATCTTTTTTTAGCATATTGTTTATCATATTATAACTTAGTACTTTTTTAGCATATTGTTGTGTTGTTGCATATTGTTCCTGCTGTAACGCTGCAAATTCCCCCTCTGTGGGACTAATAAAGGTATTCTGATTCTGAGATTTGACCTCTTCAGTAGCAACCAATAGGCTTTGGGCAGAGATCCACAGATAAGGTGTAACGCTGTAAAATACAGACTGACACATTGTTGGTTTTGGTGTCTTCACAGGATATGACGATAAATAATCAAATATACAGCAACTGTCAACATTTGATATTATGATAAAAAAGTAAGTGATCAAAGTAAAAAAAGTGGAATAAAGGGAACCGTTGCATGTGCCATGTGTACAAAAGGATTCCCCATACAGTACTTACATTCAAATGTCTACCTTCTTTTTCCATAACAGTTGCTTCACAAAGACACACCCCTTGACCGTTTTATCCATCTTTTCACTCTCCCTTAAGCAAGAAAAACAATTAGGGATTATTTTTGTATTCTACCTGGATTTAAACATTTATATGTATGAATAGTTATATAAATGTCTTAATCGGGAATAAATGAAAAGCATACCTGTTGCTCTGCATCCTGTTGGTACGGGCTCAGGCTAAGAAAGAGATTCTTAAGAACGGAATTTGTAGTGGATGCTACAGCAGATCCTAAAATATGACACCAAGACCACATAATCAATGGCAAATTATAATTTCACAACACAATTTAAAAGCAGTGTCCTTACCTTTGTGGGATGAGATGTCAGGCAGCTGCTGATGAGCATGGGTTGAATCAGACACAACGCCACGGACAGGAACCAGCTTCTCCTTCATAGGCTGATCAACATGAGCCAAGGAACTGTCTTTATTTTCTAATTTAGGATTAGGTGACAAATTGGGTGATCTTGGAACATGAGCGAGTTCTTTGAGAGCATTTATAACCTGGTGTGGCAGATGTTTCTCTAATTTAGAAGTGCTTTCTTTGGAGTTCGTTTCATTATTAATTGACTGTTGCGGACCAGAGGAAGTCTTTAAATCCTCTGTCTGAGGCTGCATGCATGGGTTAGGAGCAGCACTGAGGGGGGCAGCAAACAGGCTGAGGAAGGACCTGGCAGAGGCTTTTTCCGTCTCAAGCGCACTTTTAACATGATCACTTGTGCGATCTGCAGACTCTGGGGGGGAAGATGGAGGACAAGAGGATGTTCTTACAGAATCGTCTATGTGCTGCAGAGTGTCAGTGATTGGGCTTGTGAAAAGGCTATGAAAGGGTCTTCTCAGGGTCTTTTTATATCCAACGTCCAAATCAGTGCTATGTGTCATTTTACTGCTGCACTCGGCTGTGATTTTAGTTGAACGATGCTCCTGCGTGCCACGTTTGAGGCCAGACTGTGTGTTTTTGAAGGGCGGGGGCATCTCAGTGGGTTGTTTGGCTACAGAATGACGACTGACAGAGTTTGTAGGATCAGTTGTATTAATGGAGCCGGTGATAGGTTGTACTGTAGCAGCAGCAGCTCCACCTTTAAATTTGGTGAAGCTTGAATAGGGAGAAGGCTTTACTGAGGCTTGTGGGTCAACCGTTAGAACAGAGATATTTGGCCTCAACTGCGTAGGCTGTTTGGGAGTAGTCTTATTAGGGGGTCTTGGCAAAATGCTTCTGTAAGTAGTGCTTCCACCTTCACTCTTACAGTTAATGGAGCTTGTCATATCGGCATGCAGGTGCATGCTCCCTCTCACATCTTTGTTTTCGGAGGACTTCTTCGCCACAGTGACAGAAGTATGCAGCAAGCCCAACTTGACTTCATGAGCAGTTCTGGGAGCAGGTTTCAGAGATTCTTGCCGAAAGTCACTTTGCTTCGTGTAGTCCCTGTAGGCCGGAGTAAGACTAGGGCAGGTCTTGGAAACCAGGCCAGTGTGCACTTTGAGGCTCTTGAGCATTTCAGATTTGTTCAATTCATTTCTTGTATTTTCTGAATACAAGACCTTCTTATTTGGAGTTTCTGAGTTTAGCAGAGGATAAGCGATCTCATCACCTTCGGTTTTTGGGGTGTAGGATACAGTTTGTACAATAGGAAGGGTTGATTTAAAGGACCTGAGAATAGCATTCACAGAGTAAGGAACTTCCTTTGGGTTTGCAGAGCCTGAAGTGCCAAATTCTTCACATCCAGGAGTTGTAAAGAGGCGAGGGAAAGGTTTGAACAATTGAGGTCCAAGAACGGCTTCCACTGAATAACAGACTGGTTCCACAGGATTAAGATGACTTGACTGGGGGGGTTGATGTTGGGCATCATCTGGTGCACGTGGTGGAACAGTTGCCTCATCAGCCAGTGCTTCAGTCGCACATAGCGTGGTTTCCTTCTCGGTATTGGCTTCTGTGCTGTTGTAAAAGACAGGCCTGAAAAGAAAAAACATCAGCATACCAGCAGCTAAATGTTAATTTTATTGATTGATTAGATACATTTCTGTGCAGGAATTACACCGATTTATTAACAGAATCTAAATGAAAGGGTCGAGCTTGTATGTGCATACCTGAGTGGTTGCAGGGGTATATCGGGGGTCTTGTCTGCTTCTATCCTTTCTGACTCATCTGTGTTCTCTGGCGGTCGCAAAGAATCCTGTTCAGATTGTTTTGTTAGTTCAATGAGGCCCTTTTGCTTTTGTAATGCCTGTAGTGAGAAGAAACAAAAACACACATCAGTCTTCAGCACAAAGCAATCTCCATATGAAACCATTTAAGAACATTTGGTAACACTTTGTGAGTCCCCTGTCTATAATACACATTAACAATACTTTGAATGCATTTTTTTATAGCACAGTAGTTTAAAGTGCTATATTATAAAATAATTAGAATTGTTTATGAGTGATTTTAACTTTTTTAAGGTAGTTCATAATGAATTACACACCTCATCCAACAGTTTGGTTGTGATGTCATTAAGAGGCTCATGGGAGAACTTGCAGTCTGCTCCTTTAGAACATTGTCCTCTTCTGTGGAAGAACTTGCAGGGGAAGGACTGTGCAGCTTAGTAAAGGAAATGTTAAATATTAAACAAATAGCAGTACAATATATTATATGTTTATGAAAGGTATGTACAGATTATCAACCAAAGGATATCATGCATGTATGGGCAGCTCTCTCCTTTTTGGCAGAATCCTATAATGTAGAATTTGCACGCTTCTTTGACGAGATCATTGTAACCCTTAATGTGTTCCAGCTGACAGGTGTCCTCCTGTGTGCAGTAAAGGGAAGGACATTGCAGTAAATATTATAAGGGCAACCAATAAAGTCCGGAGGAATGAAACGTTTTGCCATCTTCTGCAAGTCATTTTTGTATCTTATCAATCAAAATGTGTATATTTTTGTACAGAGTCAACATAACCTGCCTTGATGCACCTTCCTTGGAGGAAATGTCGACAAACTAAGCGCCCGTTCACCAGCAAAGCATTCTGGTCCTTGAACTCCTCAGTCATGAACCTCGGACGTTGCACTTGGACCTCCTGAGAGGAAAGATGAGTGTTGCAATAAGATTATAGTAAATATGTTGCCAAGGGAACATTATTGCCACCCTAACATACTTTTGTAACTTTAATTATTGTTTTTTATACGTTATTCTATTCTCTTATTTTATCTGAGCTTGAATTGCAACATTGCCTTGTGTTGAAATGTACGGTATTAATATACTTGCCTTGCCTTTTAATTGGCATGTTGAGCTTTTGTTAGAAGAAGTTGGTTAATAACTTACATTTGGTGGATTGTTTGTCTAAATTAGAAGTGTCTCACATATGAAGTTGCTTTAGAGGACTTCAATCAGTATACAAATAATTTGAAATGTTAGACCTCTTCCAACAGCACAGGTTTTTGATTTATAAAGAAAGTTTAGTGTTATTATAATGGGACCTGGTTTGTGGGACTTTGTATGCCCTCAGGCTTTTGTGTCATAACTGGTAACCTTTCAATTAAATAAAAATGTGGGCAGTTCAAAAGCCAAAGAAAGGCATTCCTAAATGTCATGCTATTTTTAGGTAAGTCACCAGTCACCTTAAAACACATTCCTTAAGTGCCAAAAGCATAATGAACCCATGTCCATTTGTTATTTGATGAAGAAAAGTCTTTAAAAAGGGAAAATTAGCCCCAAAAAAAACAAAAATCTATTTCCCCTCTTACCTGCAGGGCTATTTATTAATACATTGTTGTGTGTAAATTGCTGAGTTTTGGAGATATCAGCCGAGAGATGTCTTCCTTCTCTTTGATTTAGTGGGACTAGATAGCACTTGTCTTGTGGCGCTCCAAGCAAGAAAACAAATAACCACGTTTTTCAACTCGCATCCATGAGGAGATGCATGCTTCATTCTGCAGAATGATACGGTGGGCAGTTGAGTCTCAAATCTACTACTATAGGTAAGAGGAAAAATATGGATTTTGGGATGTAAGCAGGGGCTGAATGCAATTCAAGCAGCTTCAGATGACAGGCTGGTGATGGATACAATCTATCTTGATGGACACAGTCAAGCTTACCTGCTTGGTGCTTTTAGATTTACGGTCTCCTCTACCTCTTCCCCAGGCAGGTCTAGACTGATGGCCCCCACCTCTGTTAGCAGGGGTCCATCTGTCCCTCTGCTGATGCTGATTTATCTGCCTCTCCGGGTTCTGCTGCTGCTGCTGCTGGGTCCCATTATGGTTATTTTTAGTTCTGTAGTTCTGACCCTTGATGATTGTGTGTTCACTCTGAATGTTTTGCATATGGTGGTGCATGGCCTTGACGCCTCCGCCTCTGAAGGATGATGCATTATTGCCTCTGGTTGTCTGGGCTTGGTGAAATTGCTTCTGTGGAAAGAAAATGCCAAAATATTATAAGGGTTAATATTTTAAGATTATTCAAAACTTCAAACTGCTCCGGTTCATGAGCAGCTGTATGATTGTCCAACACTGGGAGGTGTTACTTTTATTTAGCTCTGTACACAATGTCAGTAAAGGAACACTGAATAAAGTTGTCTGAATTATTCAACTTTTACATCTATTTTTTACATTTAATTTAGAAACAAATCCCTTATATAAAAGTAAACCTAGATTTAGTTTATGTCGTAATGGGTTTCTTGATATAAACCATAACAATTAGGAATTTTTTGTAACTTTCCAGCATAATAGAAAAATACTATTTCTTCATTTTTTATAAATGCAACTCATCTTATTGATTCAATGCAGACATCTTTTGTTTTTACTTTTCACTTAACATTTGCTTGAAAGAAAACAAAATCTACAAACTTTTAAAAATTATATAGTTCAAGTTCATCTGACCTTTTTATTGGGGCAAGTCTGCTCACTCTGGGGTTTCCTCTTTCTTGCATTGCCTCGTTTTCCATTCTCAGGCTCGTTCCTGTAAAAAACCAAATGTGTTTGTAATAAGTATGTAGATTTAGGCCATTAAAACCATAGATATATATAAACACTAGATGACTCACCCGCGCTGCTGGCCAATGGAGACCGAGGTTGCCACATGGCGGCCATCTTGCCACAGGCAGCTCGCTCATTCATAACATTGGGTGTTTCTCAATCGCAAGTACGCTTGCTTGGTAGCACATGTCTGCCAAGCATCTTGCTTCAGAAGCGAGGCAAGAATACTTCCTGACTTTTGGAAAACGAATAGTGGAACAGGCGAGCAAGTATGCAGGTGTGCGTTATATGAGAGGCCCCGCCTTACCTTTTCCGCCACAGATTTGGGGAAATTGGTCCGTGCTCATGTGCAGCCTCGACATTTCTCTAAACGAAGTACGCCGGGCTCGGTAGATTTCCAAGTATTCTGGAGATTGGAATTGTACTTTGGCGGCACTCGATGACATACTATGCTTGAAATAGTGGCTCTGCAGCAGCTTTACTCGTGATTGAGAAACACCCATTATGTCTATGGTGCACTATTGAAATAACCATAGATTGCTCAATTTTCAACCGGTTTAGTTTGTTATAAACATCAAAGAAGTAGTTATGATACTGCATATTTATAATTATAATCATGAACTTGTTGTCTCCTGTATCATAGCCATGTTAATAACGTTTATAATAAACCAAACCGTTTGTAAATCTTTCATTTCAGCGAGTTAAAGGTGGGGTAGGTAAGTTTGAGAAACCGGCTCGAGATATACTTTT